CACTCCTTAAAATCCATACTCACCCATAGTGCAGAGTTCTAAGAACTTCATGTCCTGTATGGCCTCGTAAGTGAGTGGGTCACTTGGCTCTAGGCCATGTCTGCTTAAGACAGAGTCAACTTCTGCCACAGCTTCTGTTAAAAGCTCTGGGTACATAGAAAGCTCGTAGAGTGTATGGGCCGCCGTAACGGCCGTGGTCTCAGTACCCGCAATGGAAAAAAGTGAGCACTGGTCGCCGATCATTTCGATGGACATGGACTTGGCATCTTCCGATGCCTTCTCCAAACTCCAATTGTCATCATCTGTAATCTTATTTGAATTGCGCAATTGCAAAAGTAGCTGAATAAAGTCACGACGCACAACATTTTTATGCTCGCGTAAATTCACCACGCGTTTGATAATTTCGCGTATTTCCAGGACTCCGTTGGGTGTATAGCCGCAATATTCCATGAATGTCGATAGACTGCATACAATAATAAGAAAGCATAACTTAATAACACGATTACTTGAGATTTGACTTCTCACTAGCAACTTACGGCGGGCAAACAAAAAACGACACCGATTTTATCCTGTCCAGCCAAGCTGAAGGCGAAAGCACTTCTCCAATCACTGTTCGGTATTCGTTTTTTGGATTTTTGAAGCTGTCAACGTCCATTCCGAAGAATACTGAACCAATGACATCGAGCGAATAGCTGAAAGTTCCCAGTAATGTATGTAAATGTAGCTACCAAGGCTCGGAGTCGATCGTCGCAGTCAAACTTACGTGAACATCATGTCCTTCATCTCGACCTCCACTACACTCTTAAAAACCAACTGTTCATCTAAGTGATTTAGTAGCTTGGCTGCAACATCGTTGATTGTCGGCAGCATAGCCTTTAGCTTGCCGCTCGAGAAAAGTGGTGTCAGTTTGCTACGCAGATTCTTCCAACTTGCACCGCGCATCGAGAAAAGATCTGGGCTTACAGTTGAATCAATGCCGCGATCGTGAAAGCTCACGAAATTTTGAATTAGAACTTGTCGTGCCAGCTCGAGGTCGGTTATCAGCAGGGTTGGTTTGAACAGCAGATAAATTCCGACGAATGGCTTTTTGTAGCGTTCGTGAAGATGGTGAATCGCGGAACCGACATCCTTTATACCGAAAACGGTGTCCTTTAACGACCCGAAGGGTATAACCGGCTTGTCGCTCGGTATACCTTGACGCTCCCAGTAGGTAAAGTGTCTGCGAATCAACAGAGTAATGGCCACGATAGCCACAGATATCAGGACGAACCACATGCTCGCAAAATTTATTCACTAAACTATTTTCAAACACAGACACTTTAGCGGGAACTCAATTGTTCTTCTACAGCGCTAGCAGCGATCAACACCGGTCAAATGGGACCGATCGTTTATGTGTCTAGCCTTTATTTATGTCCATATGACTACACGATCGGCCATACTTCGGCCACTTCCTACTAGAACGCCATCAACAGCGTCATTAGAATCAAATATTGTCAACCCGGTAATTTAAATACCCCGACATGATTAATTATGCGAACAAAAAT